GCAGGTTACGATCAATCGTTGCACTTGCGACGATGACCTAAGACCCCTGAAGAAGGCTGGTAGGCGGGCCAGCCGAAACTTCTCGGGTCCACGCCGCTGCTCTACGTTGTTATTTTTTTTTTGATTAATCGTCACGTCCGGGTTTTTTGTATCTGCGTACTCTTTTTCTCCTCTTCTTCTTCTTSTTCTTCTTTTTCTTCTTCTTCCTTTTCTTYTTCTTCTTCTTCTTCTTCTTCTTCTTCTTCTTCTTCTTCTTTTGTTGTTACTTGTGTGGTGTCTCGATGTTCGTCGGGGTTGTTGATGATTTTTGCTATTGAAGTTAGTGAAGTTGACTTCTGTCTACCACTACTACACGTGCTGCTCCCCACGAAAAGACTGGAGCACTTGTTCTTTTGTCAAAAAAAAAAAAAAAAAAAAAAAAAAAAAAAAAAAAAAAAAAAAAAAAAAAAAAAAAAAAAAAAAAAAAAGGAAGAAGAAGATACAAGTGCAATAGATTGAAGAGATACACTTACTAGGCAGCAGTCCTCATAATCTTCTCTGGCTCATTAAACCACCAGTACTTGGCCCAGCTATCGGCCGTGGAAGAAAATAGAGTAGAAAGGTTTCTAGTCGGATGAATTTGGGCGCTCCTGTAGTAGCCCGTACGTTTCCTGAAATCGTGGCGTGTTAGCCGGCACGACTCTAGGAAGTACTGGTGGTTTAATAAGCAAGTTCAGTGTAATGGGACGCTGGACCCGTTTTCCAGCAGGTGAAGCTCCCCACCAATAGATGGAGCCTCCCTGGGAATGCTAGAGGGGTTAGCTTTTATCAGCTCCCCTAGCATCAACCCGGGTGTTTTTGTGAAAAAAAAAAAAAAAAAGTAAAGAAAGTTCACATAGAGACCGACGTGAGGGGAGTTTAGCTTTGCCGCCGCGCTGCGCCGCTCTACCGCGCAACAGTGCACGTGCGGGTGGACCAGCCATGGGGGCCAGCGTGAGCCATGCACTCTCCGTGCCCCCACCGCCGCCTATGGTGCTGTATCAGGATGGGGGAGGAGGAGCAGGTGCGCCCGTCGGACTGCAACAATTGCCAGCCATGGTCGACAAGGAGAGTAGCCAGCAGTCCGAGGAATCCGGGAAATTGCCGTGCCCGGTCAAGTACGAAGAGATTCATCGAGAGGCATTCTATGCGCTGAAGCCGGATTACTTCGATTTGACTTCACGAAGTCATTGAATCAAAAGNGGAGGAGGAGCAGGTGCGCCCGTCGGACTGCAACAATTGCCAGCCATGGTCGACAAGGAGAGTAGCCAGCAGTCCGAGGAATCCGGGAAATTGCCGTGCCCGGTCAAGTACGAAGAGATTCATCGAGAGGCATTCTATGCGCTGAAGCCGGATTACTTCGATTTGACTTCACGAAGTCATTGAATCAAAAGTTTGCGTTGACTCACAKTGTTTATATGGGGTCAGTGGAGGTGCCTTCCCAGCCACAATGTATCAAGGTTCCGGCTGGGACATACGAATTTGGRGCCAATGTCTTGGACCCTAAGRTGATGCTAGTTGGTCGCATTTTAACAGATGGAAGAATGAGTGCAAGGGTGAAGTACGACGTGAACGACTTCTTGTYTTGCTGCTCTTGCAAACTGAATGGTCTGTTGACAAATGAGCCACATTTCTCGCAAGCTGTCTGTGACATTGACATGAAGGGTTCAACATTTYAGGGGCAATTGAAGCTGGGTAACAACGCATTTTATGGCGCCAACTACATTCAGAGTGTGACTCCTCGTCTTGCACTTGGTGGGGAGGCGTTCTGGATCGGAAGGCAGAGAAAGTGGGGGTACGCGTTTGCAGCACGGCATGCAACAGACAAGGCTTTTTCAGTTGCTCAGGTAGYGAGTACTGGGGGTGTGTCGTTAACGTATGCGCARAAAGTGTCAGATAAGGTATYACTTGCCACAGAATTCATGTTTAACCGGCAGTCAAGGGAATGCTCARCTTCAGTTGGTTATGACTGTTTGCTTCGACAGTGTCGACTGCGGGGGCGACTTGACACAAACGGGGTTGTGTCAGCGTTCTTGGAGGAGCGGATGAATGTTGGTGTAACAGTTACGTTTGTTCTTTCTGCTGAGATTGATCACTGGAAAAAGGATTATAGGTTTGGATTCGGGATGATCGTGGGAGAATAACGTGTCCGCAAGCGGCTGTGGTTCAGTTTTGGTTGTAATCCTCCTACCTCGAGATGCGAATTTCATCTGCGTTCTCTGTCATAGCAAGGATTGGGCAGGGCTCT